GCTGCTCTGCATTCAATCATCTTCTCTCATTTCCATGTTACTCTTGCAAACAGCAGGGAAGGTGTTTATGGGCCAAAAGATAAAATAGCCACTGGCAAGCACTTTTTTTTTTCCCACTTCTTTTTTTTTCCCCTTTCCATCTTTGAGGTACCATGGCTTGTTAGTATGAGTGGTCTTAATAGAGTAGCAGAGAGGAAAAAATGAATGGCCTCAAAAAAAACCCTTCAGAGATATCAAGCGTCTGGTCCACTGAGTCACAAATTCCCAAACCTGGTGATTATTGGAAGTTTGTCTAGGGTGTAGCAGGGGAATTACTTGATGCTCATTTTGCTGCTGAGCCTTTCCTAGGCTTCTGCTGCCTGTCGCTGACAGAGACTAGGACACTGGGCTTTGGGCCTGGCCCCGCGGAGCTGGGTGTCCCGCCAGGCCAGTCCTGGCGGTGGGAAGATGGCCACACGGCTGTGGGGGAACGAGCACGAGTGTGTGAGGCGGCATGCCCGAGGCATGCAGAGCAGGGCTGCCGCAGCCATAGGGCCCTTCCTCTCCAGCCCGGCGCGAGCCGCTGCCTCGCACGGGTCCTCAGTGGCTTTGGTTTCCAGAAAGTGGACGTGCTCCTGTGCTTTCCCATAAAGGCTTTTCCCTTATGTGTGAGCTATCTGCGTCGCTTTAATTGTAATTAGTTCAAACGCTGATATGAAAGATGTGAGAGAAATATCCCTAATGGTGGACTGCGTTTGAAAATTTGCTTCTCTGTCAAACACGCAAAGGGCTATTTGAATGCTTTTTTCTGTGGTGCATTCTGGTTGGCTCTGAAAAGTAGTTGAATGAATTTTTAATGTGGGGTTTTTTTTCCTGACACTTTTATGTGTTTGTTTTATTCCATGCGGGCTGCTCAGTCAATAGGAGGAGGAGGCATTGGCACGTCCTGGGAGGCTCTGCCGGGAACTGGGTTATCACGCTGAGAGGCTGCTGCGAGCATTTACCTATCGTAACAAAAGATCTTCTGATGCCATTTTATTATTAAACAATCTGTATTCCTCGCTCGAGCTTTTGGAGGCTCCCAGCAGTTCTGTCAGGCTAACCTTGTTGCTAAAGATGATTTTGTGCTCTTAGTTCGGTGAGTCAGCCAGGCAGCGGGGCACCGGCCGAAGCCTCCGCCATTTTGTGACGAAGCCTTTGTGCCGTGACATGAGCCAGGAACCGCGGCTGTGCTTCAGGAATGGCCTGCATGCCTTTAGGTGACCCCGTTTCTTGCTGGGGGTATGGCACTGGCCTGTGCTGGCACGGGGCTGTCGGTGCGGATGTGCTGGAGCAGCCCCAGGCTGGAAGATGTGATGTCTCTGCTGCTGCTTGGCCGTGCTCACTGTGTTCAAGTTGTATCTCAGCTGGCTTCAGTTGAAACGTGTTTTTGTGTGTGCATCACCAATGTACTTCCAGTTTTAACTAAAAAAAAAAATGGCTTTTGGTTGTCACTGTTGGTTCTTTTAAGGAAATAGGGATGGACCTAATTTGGACCACCAAAGCATGTACTGCACCCAGCTCTGCTCTTTATACACCATTGAACTCCTGTTTTTATGGTTTGTGTGGGGGTGCTCCTGTGTGTGTTCCACATGAGCACGTCTGTCTTTTGCACAAATGGCTCATTTAGAGCCATCGCATAATTTATAGGAAATACTACCAGTGTTAATACAAAATAAAAGGCACCTGTGCTTTAGCTTCAGTCCTTGCTTCCTTATGGCGGTAGAGTTTTTAGCACTGCATATGGAATACTTTGAAACCAAGTCAAGAAACAATCAAGAAGGTCAAGAATCAGTGCATTCTATATAACAATGATGAAATTACGCAATAATAATAATGAGAATAATAATGCTTGGCCTTGCTTTTTCTTGGAGGTGGAAACCATGCTAAAGTTCTCAGAGCTGTGAACACTTGGGATCTTCAGTTAGTCAGTTTGACTTATGTATGCTTACTTGGATTGTAGTATCTCTTTGTTTCAAAACTATAAATATATTGATGCTTTTTATTTTATCCTAGTATACATGCAATGTGAGTTATTCCTTGTATCATGACATCAAACCTTGAACTTGGAATACAGCGGCTAACAAACAGTGTGTGTACCCATTTGCTCTGGATATTCTTCTGGAGTTCGTTAGGTGTATTTTCTTTCTTTTCATCTTTTGGAACCTGGAAATCAAATTCTTCCAGCTTGTTCCATTTAAATGGTATAATATTTTATTATGAAAAAGGGATGTAGTATCTCTTTTGATTTTATAACTGTAATTTAATTTATTCTTGTAGGTGTAGCATCTATGACTGTGCCAGTGTACATTGCAGAAGTTGCTCCACCGCACTTAAGAGGCAGATTAGTCACCATTAACACTCTGTTCATCACTGGAGGGCAGTTTTTTGCAAGCGTCGTCGATGGAATCTTCAGCTACCTCGCAAAGGACGGATGGAGGTTTGTGACTCTTCCTTGCTAAAAGCAAAAGTGGCGTGGTTGTGATTTGGTTGACAGCTATTATAATTCTTGTTCGTAAAATAGAGTTTACATATAGAGTGGTAAAACGGTATACTGAAATGGAATGTCAATAATTAACTCTTGCTAAATGATATCCATACTGCTTGCACTTAGGCTTAATATTCACAGTATGCTTAGTTTCTTTTGACTTTACTAAGCTTTAAAATGGATGAGCAATAAATATGCATCAACAAGCTTGAATGATTGTCATGATGTTTATGAAAGTAGCTTGCCTTTTGCATTTAGAATAATTACATGCTGATTTTTCAAAAGGCAAATTTCCAGTAAGCATGATGCTGTATGCGCAAAATAGAGGTGTATTTCGAATATTTTTAATCTGAGCAGTAGTAATCCAATCAGAATTGAAGTATATTGCAGCATAACTTTATAGTTAAAAGTTTAGGTTATAAAATAATATTAATCTCTTTTACTCTACCTTCTGGATATTATGTTCTTCCTGTAGATATCACTAAGTGTTTCTGGACTGCAGCCTTATACCTACCTTCCGTATGGTGGTGTGTCATTTGAGAGAGATGAGAAATTTCAGTGGCTCAGTATTTTACTTGCAGTGCTTACTTGAAAAAATAATTAACAGGAGTGTGCAGGAGGAAGGACTTATACTACACATTCCAACTTCTGGAAACTTGTGCTTAATTATGTGTGCTTTTCTCTTGAAAAACTCTTGGGAAAGGGACGCATGTTGTTGTAGGACCTTTGATTTCTGTTGCAACAGCCTGGAATCATTTTGCTATTTGAAAATCCTAATTTGAAGGATCCTGCCCCCACCCCAAAAACTTGCAACATAAATGTTATTGTGTTCTCTGGCTTCTAATGGAGCTGAATAAGGATTTCTAGGTGCACTGATGTTTGAGGTTGAAGTTAAGAACAATTAATTTGGACTTGGTACATAGAAGAACCTGGAAGCTCATCTTTTTATAGTATGTAAAGAAATACGCATTAAAACAAAAAATTAATGTCCTCTTCTTAATGAGTCTTCTTAATTAATCTATGGTTTAATTTGTGTATGTCTGAAGATTCAAGAAGTTTGAGGTTTTTGCTTTTTGCCCACGTGATTGTTTCCCTTGCCTCTTTTCTAAAAAGATGTCACATTTTGACCTTAAGAAAAAGTCACTTCATGCTGATTTTGTTAGGGGTTCAGCTGGGGGAAGCTTTTCTGGATGTAAATCTGGATGTAAATCTGGGTGTGTTTTTCCCCATTAGTGGGCTGACACATAGGAGGTCAGGATGTGTTTGTAGTATGTGTTTCAGTAAATACTAGCATATTGGAAGAAAAATACAAGCTAACAAAGTATCTGACAAGTATTAATCTTACGGAGCTGTAGTTTTTGTTTAATTGTTCTGATAAACTAAGATATTCCCTAGTTTGAATTTTTGCACCTCAAAAGCAGACTTCTAGGCTTCTTTGGAAAAGATCAAAGAGCTAGCATTGTGGTATAGGATGTATCAGTTTTCAAATCAAGCAGTGACAGAGGATTGACAAGTACACTTGCATGTAAATGATTATTTAAGTGAACAATATCATTCCAGTTTGTTACACACACAAAAGTTACCATCTTTTGATAAGTTAATTTGTAAATATATTTAGCTAAAGTGGAAGATTAGGTGGAAGGCAATAATAATTGTCAAATGTAGATTTCATCTTTTTGTAAAACACTGATGTTTTGATATGCCACTATACCTTAAATAGGAATGAGGTCCCTGCTCACTGAAATGCTGCACAACTGTTCTGAGAACTTCTACGTTGGTATAAGTTATTCTTCTGTTTGGAACAAAAAATAAATTACTCTGGTATAATTCAGGCCTTTTAACCCATCTAAACTGAAAAAAGTAAAAAAGTTAAAAAGTAAAAGTAAAATCTAGAACCTGTGGATTGAGTAAGACTAGGAGGCTGGGTGTTTGATCAGAACTGTGTGAGATGCTGACTTTTGAAAATCTCCAACTATGGGCATTTCCAGTTCTCAAGACAACTTGTTCAGATGTTCAGTCACTCTTACTGTGAAGAATCGTTTTCCCTCATCTTTGATCTGAATTTTCCTTGTTGCAACTTGTGGCTATTGACTGTTGTCCTTTCACAGTGTACATCTGAGAAGAGTCTGTCTCCATCTTCTCTATGAGCTCCTTTTCAGTTGTGAAAGATGCAATCAGATCTCCTCTTGATCATCTCTTTCCTGGGCAGCACAAACCCAGTTCTCTCAGCCTCTTCTTTTATGTCATACACCCCAGCTGCACAACTGTCTTATTTTTCCATTGCTGTTCCTGGTTTGTAGCTCTCTTATGTTGGTGGTCCCAGTATTCCAGATTCAGCATGGTATGGTGAATAGTGAGGAGTAATTGTTTCTTGCAGCCTGCTGGCTCATGCTGGATAATTTTTGCTAATACAGTAATGCTATGTTTTATGTACAGGCCAAGTGCTGTTCTGCTGGATTGAGTGGAGCAAAATGAAGTGAAACTGTTGACGATGCATTGGGCAGAAACTGAGGCTATGCTAGTGATGAGGTATCCAAGGATTCTCAGCTGCGATGCTGGAGCTGTTAATTGGGGACTGTGTACTTGTCTGTCCTCAGCTAGTTTACGGCAACCTAAGACTGAGCAGGGAAGAGTACAGATGGTCTGTCACCTGGAAAGACTGGCCAGCAAACACATGGAGAGAAATCACAGATGTTCACTCCTGAGTCATCACATAGAAGAAGGAAAATTATGGAAATTATTGTAGCTCTTAGTGACTGAATGGCTAAGTATTGGAGTGCTACAAAAAACAATAAGGAACTTTACTTTTTTTCAGCTCTGCTTGTTCTTGGAAATGCTGGATATTAAATTAAAAATAAACCAAAGAAAACAAATATTTAACCTGACTCATGTCAGGTTAGCTTTATAAACCCAGCTAATGCCATCTTAATAGTATTGCAGCAGTGTGTCTGAGAAGGAGAAATGTTACAGCAGACTTATTAAATTTCATGCTGGATTTTTTTCAGGTCTGCTAGACATCTGGCTTCAAATGCAAAGTCTTGTACTCTGTATAGGAAAGAACTATATTAGATTTCTGAAAGCTGGCTTACTGCATGAAATGTCTAAAATTGCCCGCTTTTACTCTAAATTGGTTATATCAAAGTTGCTTGATCTGGAAATTGCAACAACTCTTGAACTTGCAATGGATGTATGCTCTTAACTGAACATTTTCCTTCTCTCCTGCTCCTTGTATTCAACTTTGGCCAGAAACATGTTGATTGGAAACTGACTTCAGTGAGCGAGCACTTTCTGTACATTTCTTTTTTATCTTGCCTGTGATAAACAATCCAATAGAGTCCAACTGGTAGCCTTAACAGGCTGGATCGAGCTTTTAGGAGTGTCAATTGATTTGCCTTTGAAGATGATTGCAGGTACCCAGTTGCTTAGTTCTGGAGGCTCTGCTGTATTTAAGGGACTGAAGGGCTTTGGAGGAGCAAAAATTAGATAATATGAGCATAAAGGACTAAATGTTTATTTAGATGCCTTAAAAGATCCTTTTGCTTGCAGTTTGACAGAATAACAGCGATTGTGTTTTTATTCTACTCTTCATTTGAAATAGAAAAGGCTTTCTAAATACCACTCTAGTGCAGGTATTGAATATACAATTTGGTGAGCTTCAATGGTGTATGTGTAAAAGTGATTCTGTATACAGCTACCAAAATGTTTGTGGAGAAGGAAGAGCATGGGAAGAAATGAGGACATTAATGAATGAGAACATTAGTGAATGAGGAATGAGAACATTAGTGAATTAGTGACACTTGTTAGATATGTTGGCTGAAGACTACTCAACTAATAATTCTTCCACAAGCTGTATGTTTTGAATTTTTCTTCCATCTGTTTTTCTTTTTTTTTTTTTTTTAACTGACGATGAGCTTAATTCTTAAAGTGTTAGAAAATAAGAGACTTCTCACAAATTGCTTTCTAGACCAAGACTTACTTGTATGACCTTTGGAAATTTTTGCTCGTTTTTGGAAGAACTTGAGGGCTCAGCTTGGGAATGGGAAGACTGTCCTGCATGCACATTGTCCCAGGATGGCCATCCTCTTTGGGTGTTCTTTTCCCCAGTCTCCATTTTTTTGCCCTGTGGTATTGCTCATGTTTTTCTTCGTTAAATCTACAAATGCCTCTAAGAAAGTCTTTTTCCATTTTAATTTTCATCCAAAATGCATTTGGACTTGACAAATACATTTGGTTCATTGCCCTGAAACAAGGTTTCCGTTAATGGTTGTGCTCTTTCCTACTCTATTAGCAATCTCATTTCGTAGCATGCTTTATAAAAACATCCAGGTTAGACTGCCGAATCGTCTGTGTGAAAGCATGCATCCTGGGGTATGAAGAGAGGAGCTGGAGATCAGCAAATCACCTTAGTCTCCTGACTCGTGTCAGGGTGTGAACCTGTTTATGACTACAGACTACCTCAGTATTCAGTCTGAGGGCTAGTTTCTGGAGGTGTTTTAATGATTATAACCACTAATGTGAAACCCATGGTAGCTGCAGTAATGTACAGGTGACACAAGCACCGTTTAAAGTCTTTAATGGAAGTGAAAAAAAATCTCAGTGAAGCGCAAATGGGAAAAGGTCAGATGTATAAAGCAGAACAAAATTATACATTGTTCTGCAATTCTTGTTATTCTTCTTAGTGTTTTATGGAAAGAGTATAAAAATGTGAAGTGTATAGACCAGAACCACCCATGAAAGTTGGTGGTATTCATGTCTTCCACAGTCTTTTCCCTCCACTTTAGCTGGAGTGAATCCTGGAATCTGTGGGTGTTGTCACAGGTGTCAGTGCTGATCCCTGGAAGCATAACTCTCCGGCCAGTGGTACTTCTCTGTTGAGTAGAGAACTAGTCTTAGTGCTGTATATAGTAAACCCCCGCCCCGGGCATCTAAAATGCATTTTTGGTTTAAAACCTAACACTGCAGCTGGCTGAAGATTTAAGAGCAGACTCTCTAAAAGATCTGGTGTAAATTGCCATGCTGGTGAAATGAACATTTGCAGTGTTTCTGCTTATAGCCAGAAATTTTCAAAAGTAAAACAGGCATCTCCTTACACAAGAGGCATATTCCTTGGTCATGTGTGTCTGTGTATACATATTACTGACCAAATGAAGCATTTTTCATTGGCTGTTTTTTTGGTGGTTTTTTTGTTTGTTTGGTTGGTTTTTTTATGTCTGTGAAACAATTAGCAGGATTTTGGTCTCATTTTTGCCATCAGCAGTACCCATTCCTTCTCTGTGCCTTTGCTTGCTTTTTCTGTTCATTCTTTTCTTGTATCTTCACTGAAGGGATTATCAGTTTGCAAACTACTGGAATGTTTCAGGGTTTTTATTTAGTCTGACTTAGTGTCCTTGGGACCTGTGGCTGTAGGGTCAGTGGTGGCAGAATAGTCAACATGTCCTTGAGATTTCCTGGAATTGCAAGCGAGGGTCCTGTTTTCTAAAATACTTGCAGAATATGATTCTTGCCTGCTTAACTTCTGGTGATAAAGAATACGAGGGGAGGAGGGTTTGATTTGTAAATTACAGCTTGAGTAGCTGTAGCTGAGTCTTCTCATAGCATGTTTTTGTAGGCAAATATTAGATATTTATTTATTTATTTATTTACTTACTTATTCCCAGGTACATGCTGGGCCTGTCAGCTGTTCCAGCAGTTATACAGTTTCTTGGATTCCTCTTTCTTCCTGAAAGCCCCCGCTGGCTCATTCAGAAAGGCCAGACTCAGAGAGCACGGAGAATTCTGTCTCAAATGCGTGGCAACCAGGCAATTGATGAGGAGTACGACAGTATCAAAAACAACATTGAAGAAGAAGAAAACGAAGTTGGAGCAGGTATGCTAAATGTTTGCTGGCCTCTCTGCCTATCAATGAGGAGACAAAAATCAGAAGAAATGTTGAAGTTGTAGTCTGTGGGAACGTGATGTTTTGCTTTTTGTTGTCTTGCTATTTGAAATAGTTCATATACTGGTAGCTTCAAAGATGAACAGATGTTTCTATGATCCAGCAGTTTTAAATTAGGTTCTGATTTCTTAAGTGAGGAAAAAGTAAAGTCGTGTAAGATTCTAAGTTTATACCACCTACACTTACGTGAGAATTGCACTCAAAAAAATACTCAGTTTACAAATGCACATCTTGAAAAGTGGAAATAAAATAAAGTTTGGTTTCTTTCATCAGTGGAAAAGGCCAAACAGACACTAGGGAGGTCAGAAGGCATTTTACAAGCCTGAATTATCCAGGAGCCGTATCCTGGCTGACCATATTCTAGACAAGCGGCCGTTGGAAAGGTTTACAAAACTAGGCATGTAATACGTTCTTTTTCAATAAAGGCAGCTTCTGAAAGTCTTCTAGGTCTGCCCCCAAGAGAATAAGGCATCTAAATCAAATCCTTTTTCTACTTTTTTGTATCTTTATGCTGTAATTGCTCAAAACTTTATGTACTTATGTGTGTACTTATAAAGCAAGATTACTATTCCATTGACTTTGTCCGCTACATATTTTTCCTTTGCTTTGTGCTGAAAGTGTTAACGTGGGAATCTCAAGTAAAGCTCTTAATTAAGGCTCATCTTAATTCTTACTTCCTTAAACATTGATAGAAAAATACTGTAACTTCTTAGAGCTGATGGAGAGAAAAATGCAAGTTATTTTATGTCTGTGTAAATTGAGATTCAACATCTTACAATACCTAATCTCATTGCCTCATTGAGTTTGGCTTTGAGCCTTACAATATATAAGTAAGTATCTGGAAAAAGTTATTTGCTACATACTAGTGAAGGGATTTTAAAAATATTCGTTACTGGTGTGAAGTAGGGCTGGGGTTTTTTTCTCCCATTATGTTTTTGAGGCTTTGGATACTTTTTTCCAGTTCTTCAGTTGGGGGGAGGGGTGGGGAGAAGTTCGTTGAAGCTGATTTGATAAAAAGCTGAAGTGGATATTCATAGAACAGCTTGGGTTTAAGAGTCCTGTGCTGATGTTCTTGATGCTAATTAGGGACTGGGCTGTTCAATTCCGTGGAGAGCCACTTAATGGCTAGTATTAAAGCTTTTATGCTTTGTTAGAAATAAAAGGAGCAGGTGTTTGACCCATCCAGTCCCTTATTTTTAGTCACTGGGCTATAGAGTACGACCTTGTTTCTCTCTCTTAAATCTTTCCTCATGCTGCTGTTTGACTATTTGTAAACTAAATGTGGTATTGTGTGACTGCAGTAGGACTGACTCCAGCTCAGTTGTTAAATCAGTCCTCTATACTTTTGTTACTTGGACTGGCACGCTAATTACGAGGTGGTTGGCTTTCTGGGATGTGTAGGTATCTTGATTCCCACCCCTCCCTCACCCCCGATCCCCGATAACTTATTGTGTTCCTGGAGTTTAGTTAAATCAAGCACATTCCTAGGAGAAATCTTGGTTATGGAGAATCAGTGTTTTCCTCTTGGGTAATCCACAGCTTCAGATTTGTCACCAAGGGGCATTAAAAAAAATGAGGGTAGTTACAAGTATATGCTGTCCTGCTTGTTCGAAGTGCTTAGCAAATAGGCATTAGATAGTTATGGTCACTCTCGTTTTTGATTATAACTTGGTAATAATTGCACTTCATCCCATTTAACCCAAAGTCTTCATTGTTATAAAAAGGTATATTGTGTGTCCTCATCAAGACATACGTTATTTTTTTACCTTTCTGTGACTTACAGGTGGTATTTACAAGTGGTGTTAAATTGTGATTACTTTCATTTCTTGAGGAGTTGTCTGGATCCTCAGTATTGCATTTGGCATGCATAGTGCAAGAGCAACTTACTGTTCATGATTTTATTGCCAGGTGTTCAGGTATTGACAACTCAAATGTGTGCTTCTGCAAAGACTTTGCATTTCATTTTTCTATGTGTACTTTGGTTTTTTTTGTTTGTTTGATATATTCCTGTAGTACTTCTTGTATTCATTTCTCCTATTTGTGGCAGACAGTGTTTTAAAACACTAGTTAATAGCAATGACAAATGATGGTAGTAATTCCTATCAGACATTGTGGACATCATGCCAGGTTTACAAAAACCTTTAATGACCCTAAACTGACAGCGTGTGTATGTGGCATTCAAGGAAGGATAACTTCGTAGATTGAAAATCATCCGGCTTACTTATAGATAATAGTGTCTTTTCCTTTCCTGTCTTTACCTTTCTTGAAAAAGAACAGATGTTCTTTTTCATTAATTGATACACAAGCATCTTTGCCAGTTTCTTAGGGCATCATTTTCGAAGGGAAAATAAGCCTGTGTTTGACTCCTTCTCCGCAAGGGAGTAACAGAATGTAACCGTAACACATTCTCCAGTCCCACACTAAAAACTGTAATGCCTTTTGTAACTGTTTCATCAACTATTCTTGTCACGGAAATAATGAATCACAGGGAAACTTCATCTGTGTTCTCTAAGCTACTTTCTTAAAGGTTTGATTGTAATGTCTGTCGTAAAACCAGAGTTCATTGCGTTTTCCACATGGTCATCAAGCAGCTTCTGTCTTGAAAATAATAAAAATGCCTTCAGCAACAAACTTCTGTTTCAGAAGTCTTTTGTACCAATGTGGGATACCTGTTAAGCGAAGGATTCACATTTCTTTATCCTTTCCAATACATTCAGCCAAATCACTGCTGCTGATACTGCTTAGCAGCTTATATTTTAGCATTTTCAGATTGGTATCAGGAAAAGGATGTATTTTTGTGACAAAAACTTTCCCCGTGACTAGTTATGCAAATGACATTTTTTCTGGCAGTCATGAATACTGCTTTTGCGTGCTCGGTTCTGTATTTCCAGTGTGACTTGATGTTGCAACCTTGCATTTTGAGAAGGGAAGGAGAGGGCATTTCATCTGCAGTAACGTTACAAGACAAGTTGAATCTTGGTCAAGTCCAGCTAATCATCATCATTTATCATCATCCCTCCCTCAGATGGTGGGATTGTAGTGCAAAGGGAGCTGGCGATAGGAAAATCAAGGGTAGAAGGACTAACAAGGAAGGTGTTAGAGAGAAGAGAGCTCCCCAAGAGTTGTGGCAGCAGCAGATTATAGGTGTGAAGTGGCTTTCCCCTTCAAATATGCTGTGGATCTGGCAGATTGCCTAGTGCTTGGCTCAGGCCCTGAAAGCTTAGAGGAGAGAAAAGGGGAGAGAACGGTCACAAGAGGTTTGCAGCTGAGGGAAGGATCAAAGATATGCCTAGGAGAGGGTTCTGGAGTGACTCTTCCTGGCAAAACATGTCTGACTCACACTGCTGCTGAACTGTAGATTTTAGTACAGTTAAGGCAGAGGTTCTGTACTGCACGTTAGTTAAAAACAGGCAATCAAATCATAGCAATGCAGGTAAGCACTGGCACAGGGCTTAATGCACAGGTATAGATGAAGTAACTTGTGCTCCTAAGCGAATTAGAGAGTGGGATTTGTAATGCTAATTCTAGAGCAAGTACTTAGGAGTGAATTTAAGGGTAGTGGTTTTGTGCATAACAATAAAGCTATCTAGCACACCTTTTGTAAAAGTCTTCCAGGCTGCCAGTGTAGTGGTCATTTCAGACTGGAAAGAAATCATTATAGCATCCAATACAGACATTTTAAATAGATTATTAATTTCCTATGTGTTTGACAACACTCCAATGTTCAAAGCAAATCATAGAAGAGTATCAGTTTCTACTGTCCTTCTGCGTGAAAGCATCTGCAAACTGCATGGCTTTCCCTCACACCCCTCTTGTAGCAATACAGAGCTGTGATGTGCCAGGATGCATGGTATTTCACGTGAAATCAGCAGCGATGAGTATAGTACTAACTAATATCTTGACAAAATGAACATCATTTGCATTAAGACTAGACATTTATTTTTGTGTAGATGAAGGATGTGTAACCGTGGATCATAATTACACTAGGAGAGCAGTGTAATCTCCCCCAGCCCTATTTGTCCCACATTTCTCCAACCTGTAAATTAGGGTTGAGACTCTTGACCTTATGTGCTATGCCTGTGGACCTTTACATTTTATTATCTGTTCTTATGCATGTATATGTGTCAACTTCTGATCATGAAGGTGTCTTTTTTGCATGTTATGCTTAGTAATTCTGGCCGTGTAAAGCTGCTGGGGCTCAGCAGTGCATGGAACCATGCTGCTTCTGTGAAATTCACTGAGTGATTTAGAAAATTAATCATTACACTGTAATATTGTTTAACCCACCATTCTGTGTCTGTACCAGAATGTTATGTAATGAGCACTACTTCTAGATCAGACATTTTCTGGTTTTCATTATTTTTCATACATTTTTTGTAATAGCCTAGCTTTTTTTTTGTGAGACCAAGAAAAATGTATCCATGCCACTCTTTCATTCCTGTAGGCTTGACTCACTCTACTTCTTTGCTGAATTTCCTATTGGATCAGTGAATCAGTCTCCTTTTTTAGGTTTGTTTTTTTTATTTCCCTGTTGGAGGTAAATGTTGTCTGATATAAAGGTAAAATCGCCTCCTTACCTTTAGGTTTCAGCTCATAGCTTTACCCGATTAACTGTCACTTAAAATAGGATATTATCAGGCAGGAGATCTGGACTCTCAGTCCTTTCTGGTTCCAGTGTATTTCTATTTCTTGCACCTTTTCTTCTTAAGAAATATTTTAACTTCCTAGTATTCCTGGCTTTCGCTTTGGCTGGAACCATTTGACGTGCATCTGTCTAGGGAGATATCGGAAGCTTGCAAAGTTTTCATTCTTAATTGTCATTCTCCCCTTACTTCTGGGAGTCCTTTTTATCTTAGGCCATTGCCTGATGTGCTTGGTGTTGAAAAAGACATAGATGTGCTTATTATTATTGGACATCAGCCGGAATCTTA